TGTGTAAAATTTCGTAAATTTTTTTCAGTGTAGGAGCCAGGGAGCCAAGATAATTCGGTGCCTCTAGACGCTAGCATTTCAAATATATGGTACCTAATGTTTGAAAATAAAATGAATTTAAACCATATAACACTATAGTATACTTAATACAAGTCAACGCGTCTCTGTATATTGATATTTTTTACAGGGACGCCTCTGTACATAACCGTAACTTTATCAACAGAGGCGCCTCTGTACATAACCGTAACTTTATCTACAGAGGCGCCTCTGTACAGTTACGGAAAGAAGTAATGTCCATTTGAATGCTCCATTGTAATTGTTCGGAGGCATTCGGGTTTTGCTAATAAAATTAACATATCTATTTTTAAACTCAATAATTCTACCTACCTGCTATTTACCATTCTTTCTAAGCACATTTCATTTGAGTTTTAAGCTTTTATGCAATAATTAAGTATAAAAGGAATAACATTGATTCTGAAATAATTTAAATAAAATATATGTTCTATAACTTATTAAATAAACTATATATTATTTAATAAGTTGTTATTAATAAAATAATATATTTAAATGAAATATAGACATTTAATACTAAAATAATTATAAATTAAACTAAAATGCATTTTGTGCACTATTAATACGTTTTTCTACTTCTATTGCATATTATTAAAATTTTTTGTTTTTTTTTTGCATAAATAATGGTAACCAATATAACCGCTCGGCCTATCAAAGTGAATTATATTATATTATTATTATATTTACGTTGTTAGGTATCAGTGATTGGCTTATTTTAATATTCACTGTTATTTGAACCAATCGGGTTTTAAATTAGAAAAAAGTAAGGTTGACAGATGTCAGATTTATTTATATATACGAGGGGCGACTATAAGGATCTTTAAAATAGGAGAAAAGTGAGGTTATAATAAATTTTGTTATCAATGAAAATTACTTAATTGGAGTAGAAAAAACATAGTATTACACTATAATGCGCATTATTTTACTCGGATGAATTACGTATCTCGCCTGACGGCTCGACATGCAAACCTTATCCTTTTGAATAATAGCCTGCATTATCTCTCGTATAATAAATAATAATATACTATCATCAACATTTTAGTTTTCATTACTTGTTTTATGAAATATCTGCCCATGTATAAAATTCCAATAAAATATGGAAACGGCATAAATTTATAATTATTATAATAATTTAACTTGGTATTCCCAAAGGCTCTAGTCAAAAATAAAATTGTGAGAAATAAATGAAAATCCATCCATCTTTAAAATACAAAAATAATATGGAGAAAATTTTTTTAGTCGTTTTGCATGGCACATAGACTATTTTTAAATTATAATATAATATTTGACCAAATTTGGTCCAAACCCTTTGGGAATGCCATGCTTCAACTATAATTGAGGAGCATCCCTGCAAAACCGGCTAAATCCATTTTATTCAGTTTTTGTTTTTTTTTTTTGATTTCGCATCTTTGGGTTCATTTCTATCGACAACCAAGATAATTCTGTTTAAATCCGACTATATCCATGTTAAAATAACATTTAAAAGGTAGCTTTAGGAGCAAAACCGGCCAAATCCACGCTTTTTTAGCAAACCCGGCTATATCCAATAAATAATAATGATGATGAGCATGTGGCTTGGATATGTCGATACTACTAATAAAATTTGTTCTGTTTTTTCATGTTTGCACTAAATTTATTTTGTTAATATTTTTGAATAATAAAGGTTTTTTTCACATTTTATTCGTTTTTTATTCGGTTTTTGAGCAAAACCGGCTATATACAAAACATTTTTTGAAATTTTGGCCTTAATATAAAGTTTTTGAAAACGAAAGTATGTCTTATAAATCAAGTACCACAAAGCCCACAAAACTCAAGTTTGCTTTTTCTTTTATCTGTAAAGGCCAGGAAACCGAAAGTTTTTGCCATTTTCCCAACATTTTATTAAAGTGGATATAGCCGGTTTTGCACGGATTCTCCTCAATTATTAATGTAATTATTTACCATTTCTTTTTAAATAAAAAGGCAGCTTTCTTTGCTCATGGTTTTAGATAATATTTTCCTAAAAAAGGGTCCTACTAAATTTTACCATAAATTTTGTTTCGCTGAAAAAGTTTGAAAATCTTGAAAATTTCTATAAATTCAACTTTTACCTTGAATACCCTTTAAAAGAGCCCTACCAAAATTTGTTTCAGTTTTACTAATCCGAGTTAAACTATTTCAAGGTATTTTAAAAAAATCTCATATTATTTTAATGGGAAATAAAAATTCCCGATGAAGGACCCGTAAATGTAATATTAAGAGCTTAAATTTTAACAGGACCATTTTTTTGAGATTCTGAACAATATTTTTGAGGTGCTTTAAAAATAAATATTCGATATTTTTTATCAAATATTTAAAAATTTGTCCTACATTTAAAATATTAATATAAAAATTTAAAATATTAATATGAAAAAATAAGAATAAATGTTTATAAAACTATACAAAAATATATCAAAAAATTAACGATTTAATAAAAATACAGTTAAATATGTAAAATACACAAAATAATTAATTCAATACGAGCAGGTAGTAAATCCCTAAGAGGCAGATGTTTCCGAATGTCTCCGAACAATTACAATGGAGCATTCAAATGGACATTACTTCTTTCCGTAACTGTACATATACACTTCGATAATTATTTATACAACATTTACAATTGTTGTTAGCACATCAGGCACCTCTAACAATACTTGTGCTAGAGTGTATAATTTATAGATTTATAGACCGTGTTTAAATATTTTTTTGGAAAAACTAATTTTATAGATTTTATTAACGAAACAAAATATTTATTTTTTTAAATTTTGTAAAAAGAATTTGAGATAAAAACCGAAAATAACCTAAAAAACCATTTTAAATTTAAAGGGTTCGGTCTCTAGACTTGCATTTAAAAATAATATGGGTACGGTTCCGGTCCACAAATAAATACCGGTTCCGGTCCGGTTTTCTGTCCAAAAACGGTCCGGTCCGGGTCTCTGGTTTTAAGTGCATTTTTTTCATAAAATAAGTTAAGGTTATCTTTCGAATTTTAACGACTCGTCATGACAATATAAACTTCAATTTATTTTAATTAATAAACAAGAAACAAAGCTTGAAACTATTTCACTTCTTAAACCTGTTTTAGTATATTGTTCAATATATATTATATATATATTATTTAATATAATTAAAAAAGTTGGCCATTTCCATGAGGATTAAATATTGGGACACAAGCCAAAGGCAAGTTGAGTAATTCATTTGAATGGAAATGCCCATTTCTCAAGAGTTTGAACACTATACTTTTTCTAATTTTATTAAAGAATTTAGTACAATTCTATGTAATTACCATAATCAGAGATTCTATGAAAAATGTCAGTGTCAATTAATTTTTAAGAAAATATTGATCCACCATATAATATAAGACTGAGCCACCTTCTCATTTGAAAACATATAGGAAATGTATAAATTCTTTTATCCGAAATCGGCAGTAAAGTAGTCAACAATCGGCAGTAAAGTAAAAGAAATCGGCAGTAAAGTAGAACTTTACTGCCGAGTATTGTATGCAACCAATTATACATTTTAGGATGTGTCTACTGCTCCTCAGTAGCAACTAAATAATATTAAAAAAAGCACCGTCGCGGAGGTCGATTGGATACTTTCATAAAATGTTGTTTAATAAAATAATAAGTTAATTTTAATAATTAGATTAAAAAATCGCCGCGGCGGGCAAATATATAATAACCGTCGCAACAAACTGTATACGTAGAGAATTCATACATGCAAATGACATTTGATTTTATCATCAATTATTAGTAATAATAATAATATTAAAGTCATTTTTTATCACTCACGTGGTAATTTCCACATTCGTGATAAAAAATACGACTTTACTGCCATGATACATAAATAACTATAATATGATTAAAAAACATAAGTAATTATACATCAAAAAGGTACCTTAAAAAGACAGTTTTCTAAGTGAAATTTTTTCATAAAATAAGTTATATGTACGAAAATATCTATATCTATATCCATAGATATATCTTACGACTCGCCTTGACGATAGACCTTTAATTTATTTTAATTATTGAACAAGAAACAAAGCTTGAAGACATCTTATATCTGAAACTCGACAATAAAGTTGGATGTCAAGTGTCCTTGTTTATTTGGTTATTTATCTCTGATTTGTATTATATTGTCATTGCTGGTAGTGTGGTTAAACCAAATAATCAAGAAATTAAAAAAACAGACAAGGACTATATTGACTGGATAATGCACATGTTTGTTCTTAAGCCCGTATTACAGTCTGCAATTCTATGTGCAATATTCTTGCATGTGCAATAGTCTAGCACAAAGGCATGCACATAGCAACATTTTGTGCAAGTCTAATGCCGTTTCAAATTATGGGTTCATTCAAGATGAATTTGGAATTGCAAAGTGTTTTACAGTCAGCAATAAAACTTGTATGCAAGAAAGTTGCTGCAAGAAAGATTGCTGCAAGTAATTGCAGTCTGTAATACAGGCTTTAGGTTTTGAGAAGTACTTTGCTGCAACAATAAAGCAAAGCAAGTGTAGACACCTTGAAAATAGTATTTTCTGCAGAGAAAATGGTAATTTTTAAATTTTATAACAAAGTTCAATGTCTTATTTTTAATAAACCAAGTAGTAATGCCACTTTAAAAGGAAAATAGAATACCTTGTATTAAAATAAAAAAAATACTTTGTTTATTGAGCAAGTATCCCTATAGGAATCCCTGCAGGAAGTATTAATAGTAACACAGGAAGTGTATTTTAGGGTGAGCTACAAGTTAAAAATAGAACTATACAGTCATAACAGTACATTTTTATGGTACCTATTCAAATGTTATTCAAAATACTAATTTATATTGCACACATTATATTGTTACCTTCATTTGTTTATTCCCTTAAATTTGTGCAACAGGTATACCTACACTTATGTTCTGTGCTCTTACCAGTACTTTAAAAGGGCTGTAACTTGCAGAGGGTTAACTTGTCCAGGATAAATTTTCCTGCATAGTGAATATAAAGATTCCAATCCTGCAGGAGTTGGTGGCAGGATATTTAATGGGGGCCCATGAGGTAGAGCTGCAGCTTCATCCATTGTTAATCAATTATCGAAAATTAAACCTATTCCAAGTCCAAAAGAAAATAGGTGATTTCAAACAAACTAAACGTTATAATTTTCTGTTATAATACCATTTTTAACATAAAACTGATTAACTAAACTATTATTTACGAAACACCATTAGGCACAAAACAACAAACATGTCAGAAAGCCTTTTAAAACCCTAGTCTATAGGTTTAAAACTGAATTTATACAACCAGCAATACCAACATATGACCTTGTACGATACCAACTTAATTTTGTATTCTTACAGTTGGTACACAAACGTCAAGAATTGTCAACAATTGTTCCATTTGTTGTTAGAACTTGTTAATAATAATAATTGTTATGAAATTTGTTAAGTGTGGATTTATAGTTATAGTATTGTTAATATAGAATTTAAAATGTTGGATTCTTCCCCAGAGGACGAGGACTTTCCTGGTCGCCTTTTGCATCAGGTTAATTGTTTTTAAATGTTAAAATATTATTGATTTATTGTATTGATTAATAAATACTTAATTTTTTTTAAATTTAAAAATATTTTATTTATTTCAGTCAGCTTTGTGGGATAACACAGAACTTTTAGAGGATCTCCTAGCTGGCGGTCAGCAAGCATTTATTAATTCTCAGGATAGCTGGGGTAGAACTCCTTTACATGCTGCAGCAATAACAGAAAATTCTAGATGTCTAGAAATTCTATTAAATGCAGGGGCTGATCCAAACATACATTGTGGCCCTCGAGGAGACAATAAGGTACCTAAAATTATTCTTACTAACAACTATTTAAAGTTTTGCTCACTTTTGCTTTTTCAATTTTAGTACTTAATTACTATATTATAGGTATAAGTACTAATATAAAGATTAGTGAAACTATAAAGTTTTATAATTATTTAGGTATATTACTTAAATTGAAAAGAATAATTAAAATACATATACAAATTTTATAGAAGCATTTCTTTGTCTTATTTAAATACATATAACTTGTCTATGGTTCAGGGGTGTAGGCAGAAAAAAAGGGGGGTTTGGTTTTCACAGTAATCATGAGCTTGTTAAGATTTCTGAAAAAATCTAAAAACAAAAAAACAACTTTTATACAATGTGGTTTAAACCCCCAAAACAACCTCATGTGGTTTACTCAATAAAATTGAAAGAGAAACTGAGTAAAATTTTATCAAGTCCTTAATTTGTATTATAAATCTAAAGCAAACCAATTTTTTTTTAAAGTTATTGATTTTAGCATTTATGCTAAAATATAAAACATATGTATACCTAACATTATATTTATGTCATTCTTTTTCTACTGATTTTCTATCTTAATTTTTTTTGTGGTGATAAAAAAAATTAAATTTAGTAGATTCCATTTTTTAGATTTATTTTACGCTGTGGCTCCCGTCCCGAGGCGGGACTTAAGTTCAGTCCCGATTGACGTCATAATTTTAAGATTTGTTATGTTATAATAAAATAATAATAATAATAAATTCAATCTATTAAATTGTACCTGTATACATGTTAAGGGCACGTTAGTTAGGTCATAAAACCAAACCAACCCAAACTCAACAACACAACCCAACCGACCCCGCCCCATTGGGCCCCCCCGCCCCATTGAGCAAAAAACCCAACTAAAATGGGCAAATTTATGTTACGATAAAAATAAAACACTTTTTAACAAAGAAACAACAAATTTATAAAATAAAAAAAATAAAAAAAGTTTGACAACTTCTAGTAGAATCGAACCCGGTACCTCTCGCATGCCAAGCGACCGCCCTACCATCTAAGCCATCCAGCTTGACACCAATTATAAAAGCTCGGGGAATAAAAACGGATTTACAGTGTGTGACGTCTGTCGGGATCGAAGTTAAGTCCCGCCTCGGGACGGGAGCCACATCGTTTATTTTATCCTTTATATTTTTAACAAATTAAATTGCTACAAACAATACTACTAAATTTGTTTATACATTAAGTTTTAAATCATTATAGACAGTCTAACTTAACTTTCACCCTAGGATCTAACATACATGAGTACAACACTAGGGCCAGAGCAAATATAGTCAGTACATTTTCTCAAAATGGAGTAAAAAATTATAACTTGCTTCCCAATAACCTTAAACAAAAAAAAACTCATGTTTTGCATGTTCACTTAAGGACTTCTTAGATTTTAAGTTATAGGATAAGATCCAAACAATCAAATTTTTTATATATTTTTCTTTATTTCTTAACTAAATTTTTTTTTCTTGAACCCAAAAAAAAAACAAATGTTAATAACAGGTTAACATAAATAATAAATCAGGCTTTCAAAGAAAATGTTTAAGAAAATAATATAAATATATACAGTGTTGGCCATAATTTTTGGAACCACTGTAAAAAAAATCTAACTCTAAAACGCCTTTATTATTCTTTATGAAATTTTGGATGAAAATACTTCAACTTAAATCTCAGTTTACGTGTTCGAGGGTTTTTTCGAGAAAATATTTTATTTAATAATGAAAAAACGTACGAAAAATAACTTTTAGGGTATTTTTTTTTAAGTAAATAAAAATATGTTGTTAAATATCGTATTTTTGTTAGTATACCCTAAAATTTTGTACAAATGAAACGAACAGTAGCGAAGATACAGCGCTTCAAAGTCGATAAAAATAGCCCCTTTTTGATTATTTTGCTAAAAAGTGGTCATGTTGTACAAAATTTTCAGTGTATACTAACAAAAATACGGTCTTTAGCAGCATATTTTTTATTTACTTAAAAAATTACCCTAAAAGTTATTTTTCGAACGTTTTTTCATTATTAAATAAAAGGTCTTTAAAAATATTTTCTCGAAAAACCCTCGAACACGTAAACTGAGATATAACTTGAAGTATTTTTATCCAAAATTTCATAAAAAATAATAAAGGTGTTTTAGAGTTAGATTTTTTTTAAAGTGGTTGCAAAAATTATATCCAACACTTAATATACATATGAAACAAATTATAGGGTGTTATTTTTAGATAATAAATAATTTTTTATAGCTCTGTTAAAGTTTATAACATCTAAGACTTTTATACTATTTGGAAGTTCATTGTACCATTTCACAGCCGTAGTAGTTACTCTCTTCTTTTCAATGTTTCTTGCACTTGGTAAAATATAAAAGTTGTGGTTTGTACAAGTATTGTAATGGTTAATATTACAGTTTTGATATGTCAGTCTCTAATATATTATTTTTAATTTTATGTAGAAGTTTAAGACTTTCTAATTTGACAATATCACAAACTTTAAGAAGGTTTAGTTCGCTATACAGCTCACTAGTTCCATAACGCATATGTTTACAAAAAAACACTTTTACGAATCAGTTCTGGGTAACTTGTATTTTTTCGATATCCTGTTTTCTGGTTTGTCCCCAAAATGGTGCTAAGTATGACATGACTGAGTAAGCATAGGCAGAGTATATTTTGAAATTGGTTTTATGATTGAAGAATTTGGCTGAATAATACAGGGGATAGATCAATTTATTTATTTTGCTCTGTATGCTTTCTACATGTTTGTCAGATAGTAATTTGTTGTCTAATATCAAACCTAGGTATTTTGCAGTAGTCATCTCCTTAAGTGTAACGTTGTTTTTTGTTAAGCATTAGCTGGCCATACACAGACGTTATTGCCCGCGGTTTATCGTGTTATCTGCAAAAACATATGGAAAATCATGTTTGTGAGTGAGTATCGCCGCGCGCAATGATAGAACGGGAAGGGATTTCAGACGTGCTTTCCTCTGGAGTGTGGCGTACATCATTTCAGCAGTGTCTACACGCCACACGCCACATTCCGCGTCACGGTTTACCTTCGCTCGGCAAAATTTCACGCTGAAAATTTGTATATGATCACATGCAGTTTCAAACGACTCGATAAATGACACTTTTTGCCCACTCACATACGATTTTTCCTTTTGCTGGCCATACACAGGCGTTATTTCGCGCGGTTTATCGTGGCGTGTTGGGATGTAGCGGTTAGTATGCACGAAAGAACGGCATGGCAAAAAAAGCGTCATGTTCCATATACTTGATAAAGTATTCAAATGATTTAGCAAGTAATTGCCCGTGGTATATCAGTTTCAAAGGAAAAATCGTATGTAAGTGGGCAAAAAGTGTCATTTATCGAGTCGTTTGAAACTGCATGTGATCATGTACAAATTTTCAACGTGAAATTTTGCCAAGCAAAGGTAAACCGTGACGCGGAATGTGGCGTGTGGACACTCCACACTCCAGAGAAAAGCACGTCTGAAATCCCTTCCCGTTCTATCATTGCGCGCGGCGATACTCACTCACGTACATGATTTTCCATATGTTTTTGCAGATAACACGATAAACCGTGCGCAATAACGTCTGTGTATGGTCAGCTTTTGAAACTGATATACCACGCGCAATCACTTGCTAAATCATTAGCTGGCCATACACAGACGTTATTGCGCGCGGTTTATCGTGTTTATCTGCAAAAACATATGGAAAATCATGTACGTGAGTGAGTATCGCCTCGCGTAATGATAGAACGGGAAGGGATTTCAGACGTGCTTTCCTCTGGAGTGTGGAGTGTCCACACGCCACATTCCGCGTCACGGTTTACCTTTGCTTGGCAAAATTTCACGTTGAAAATTTGTACATGATCACATGCAGTTTCAAATGACTCGATAAATGACACTTTTTGCCCACTCACATACGATTTTTCCTTTGAAACTGATATACCACGGGCAATCACTTGCTAAATCATTTGAATACTTTATCAAGTATATGGAACATGACGCTTTTTTTGCCATGCCGTTCTTTCGTGCATACTAACCGCTACATCCCAACACGCCACGATAAACCGCGCGAAATAACGCCTGTGTATGGCCAGCTAATAGCTGGCCATACACAGACGTTATTGCGCGCGGTTTATCGTGTTATCTGCAAAAACATATGGAAAATCATGTACGTGAGTGAGTATCGCCGCGCGAAATGATAGAACGGGAAGGGATTTCAGACGTGCTTTTCTCTGGAGTGTGGCGTGTCCACACGCCACATTCCGCGTCACGGTTTACCTTTGCTTGGCAAAATTTCACTTTGAAAATTTGTACATGATCACATGCAGTTTCAAACGACTCGATAAATGACACTTTTTGCCCACTCACATACGATTTTTCCTTTGAAACTGATATACCACGGGCAATCACTTGCTAAATCATTTGAATACTTTATCAAGTGTATGGAACATGACGCTTTTTTTGCCATGCCGTTCTTTCGTGCATACTAACCGCTACATCCCAACACGCCACGATAAACCGCGCGAAATAACGCCTGTGTATGGCCAGCTAATCGCGCGTGATTGCGCGTAAATCTAAAGCTACCTATCAGTTTCTTGGGATTTCTTGTTGAAAACAAGATAGTTGCACTTGGATTTATTAATTTGGATGTTTCCTATGTCCATTTTTTTGCATTTTACCTGAACAGAAAAGAGCAGTGTCGTCGGCAAAGAGTGTTAAGTTTTCATTTAGTTTCATGTTGGTCAATTTATTTATATAGAAATTGAAAAAAAAATTATAAGGAGTAACCTTCATAAATTTTCTGTAATTATTTTGATTTAATAAAGCTATTCATTCATAGTAAAATTTTATTTTTAACATTCTTAAATCTGTTTTGAGTCGACTCTTTCTTATATGTACATATAAGACCATAAAATAAAAAAAAACCATTAACTTCTTAAAGAGATTTAAATTTTATTTGATAATCCAAAATTTATTTTGATAATAAAAAATAGCTAAATCTTATTAAATTAAGGAGGCTCAGAAGGTTATCTCACCTGGTGCTTCTTGAAAAGGTATAGAGTTAAGTACATTATTCACAATTATTCCACTAGTAATAATATAGACAGTGTCTATTAGACACTTAATTATAATATATTATACCACTGGATTAATTAGGAAATGTAGTTTCCAAAAATTACCATTAGGTATTTCTTGATTTTTCGTGCTTGTATGTGTCAGTCTAAATCATTCTTTTTATAAAAAAACACATTTTAAATCACATTCTTCTGGTTTTCTGAGAATCTTCTTAATGGAATTAAATGTAACATTATGTTTTATTTTTCGCTGTGGCTCCCGTCCCGAGGCGGGACTTAAGTTCAGTCCCGATTGACGTCATAATTTTAAGATTTGTTATGTTATAATAAAATAATAATAATAAATTGTACCTGTATACATGTTAAGGGCACTTTAGTTACGCCATAAAACCAAACCAACCCAAACTCAACAACACAACCCAACCGACCCCGCCCCATTGGCCCCCCCCCCCGCCTCATTGAGCAAAAAACCCAACTAAAATGGGCAAATTTATGTTACGATAAAAATAAAACACTTTTTAACAAAGAAACAACAAATTTATAAAATAAAAAAAATAAAAAAAGTTTGACAACTTCTAGTGGGATCGAACCCGGTACCTCTCGCATGCCAAGCGACCGCCCTACCATCTAAGCCATCGAGCTTGACACAAATTATAAAATCTGGGGGAATAAAAACCGATTTACAGTGTGTGACGTCAATCGGGACTGAACTTAAGTCCCGCCTCGGGACGGGAGCCACATCGTTTATTTTTTATTATTTTGATACCAAACATACCTAATTGTCTAAAACCCAACTTATTGCCAAAAAAAATAAAAAATAAACATTCAATTCTATCCAGTGAATCCTGAAAACCGAGTATGGCAACTTTTAAATATAAAGAAATGAAAATAAATGATATTTATACCTATATTATATTATATTATAATACGAGTAGGTACTTTTAGATTGCAGCAAATTAAAATTAAAAACAAAACATAAATTTAACTTATTTTTTTAAGTTTTACAAAAAAATCATAACTTTATAGGTTAATATAAAGTTATGATTTTTTTGTTACATTTTTTAAATAGAAAAAACTTAATAGTCAAGCGGAGAAAAATCAAGTTAATTCATAACAATCAATGCAAACTATGAGGTGGCATATCCTTTATGTTAATTTAGAAAGATACTATGCTAATGTGCCCAATGTGCCACGTTGTATAAATAATATATGCAATTATGTATAATGTATAATGTCTATACAAATAATAAAATATATTTACTTTTTACTCTTTATTGAAAGTGAAGTCATGCTTTTTCAAGCAGAACATTGTTTACCCAATTAATAGAAAGTAAAAGTCTTATACATTGAGTTATAAATTAACTGTTGTATTTATTTTTGCTAATAACATGTATTTTTTAGACCCCTTTGCATTTAAGTTCAGAGCATGGACATGGCAGCAACATACAGATATTATTGGAAAACAATGCAAATATACTAATGAGAGATTCCAATGGTATGACTGCTTCAGATTTGGCTGATAAATGTGGACATATCAAATCTGTTGAGATCCTTAAAAAAGCTGCCAGTAAGTTTTATATTTTTTGCAGGGTTTTAAGATAACATGTGTACAACAAAAGACAACATGTCTATGGGGCTAAACTAGCAACAAAAAATTAAAAGTTATCTGAGTTTTTCAAAATTGTTATACCTCTAATGGCCGTATGCACTAAACCTTTTAGTCAATTACTGGACTATAGTATACAGCATTGCCAATATACAGTGGTAATAATGCAAATTTAGGCCAAATTGTGACAAAGATGCATGCAATATAAAACGTACGAAAATGTGAGATTAACAACCATCGACTGGTTAACAAACGTGATTCCCCTCCGTCATGAGCGTGCAGTAGAAATTTTTAAAACAATTAAATCAAAACGGTCTATTACACGCCAATGTTTTACTTCCCCTTCTTTAACTATCTGCGTTACCCGCCGGGCGGGTCCCGCCCACTCGACATGTTCGAGATTTGCCACTATTTAGTGTCAGTTTCATTACGACTGAGGTAGGGTGTAGTCGGTTGTTATAAAACAACGTAAATATTTTATTATGATTTTGTTTACAGAAACAAAAATTCCTTGCAAATATTTCTTAGGAAATGTGGAAAATAAACAATAATATTCTTGTAATAAAAAAACAAATATTCTCAAATAAAAAAGTATTCTAAAAAACGTAAAGAAAAAATAATTTAAAGCAAATGTTCAAATAGCTGCCCAAAAGCTGCCGAACAATACGTCAACCTGTTGTAAAAATTTTGACGGACATTTGACAGCATATTAGGGTTAATATTTCTTAATGTATCAATAATCATTGCTCTTAATTCATCAAGTTTATTGGCCCTAAGATGCTGAAATCCATACATTTTTGACTTTGGTCTGACGCCGCTACAAGTTGTCTGCCCAAGGCAGAGTGCCCCACCACTCCTGGAGTGGTGGGGCACTCCACACTTTACACGTCTTATATGGCATCTCTATTGTTAGCGTCTTTGTCTACAAAGGGGAATACGCGTACATTACCACCACTGTATATAATCTTTGGTTGCTAATATTGCGGCCTGCGACTGATACTCGCCTTTAACCTGTTTCTTAAATCAGTTTTGACATTATTGAGGGCGCTAAAAACACGCTCAACACTGGCGTTTGAAAACTGCAAAATTAATAAAAGACCTATTACAATTTTTAAATTAGGATAGATTTCTCCACCGCCAGCATTTTTTAATTTAAAAACTTTTGCCCAATACTTAAATTAGGTATAATCCAGACCTAAATTAGCATGGTTTAATAACGCGTGATTTCGCCATTCGTTGTCTAATTCCTGTTTGTTTACAATTTTGTTCAAAAAGGAAAATCGACTTAAAACATGAGATAATGTTTTTAACAAACAAACATTTTTATCTATCGATTGCATCAGAGAGAACAACCGTTGTTGTCTGATGGAATATCGTTTATTAATTAAGATGATTTTAGTAATTATTGTATTTTAAGTAACATGGTAAATTAACCAATTCCTGCCAAATTCCTGGCATTTCAACTCTCCTGGCAAAATTACTGGCAAGAAGCTTTATTCCTGGCAAATGCCAGTAATTACTGGCAAATTGGCAACGCTGATAGTATATGAGCCCAGAATCATATCATTTGGCCCAGACAATATTTTATTTTTTACATTATTTCAGACAATATTGGTAAACACAAAAGAAAAATCCATTGAATCCAAATATTATTTAATAAAAGTTGGATTCACTAGATATTGTTCACGTTGTTAGGCCGATTTGAACCAATTAGGTTTTAAATTCAAAGAAGGCGAATATAATCAAAGATAATCTTTGAATATAATATTTAAAATTGATAGAAAGTAAGGTTAACCATTTGACAGTTGACAGATTTTATTTAATTATTTTTGACAATTTCCCTCGTCTTAATTTCTACCAATTACAGGCTTCACAGCCATGGCCCTAAAAGCCCTATTTGGCCCTATTTTTAACCAAGGTCCCTAAAAGGGCCCTAAAATTCATAATGGTGCCCTATTTGTCCCTAAATAAATATTTTATTTTTAAAATAAGTTTTTGTAAAATACTTTTGTTTATCTTTATTTTTTTAACAATATTTTTTTAATAATTAAGCTTCTCTTTTTTAAATTTCGCGGCATACCTACAAGATGTAACTTACATATACAGTGTGGTTCTCACTTATTCTATCAAAAAAGATGTTTATAAAAAACGCTCGGACATATAAACTTTGATTTTTATTTAAAATCTTAAAATAATAACTTTTTTGTCCCCCACCGTTTGTTCCCTATTACATGCACATTTATCTTAAACCCCACTTTTTTTCGAAAATTAATAGCACACATTTTTCTGAATACAACGATAAGTAGAGTCTAGTTAACATAGTTTGCAATACAGGGTGGAATGTAGAATGACAGATTAAAAACTTTTTTATTTTAAAAATAAAAATTAAACAATAAATGAAAAATAAACTATTCTTCAATCTTATAAATGTTCAAAAATCACTTCCTGACAGTTAAGTAACTTATGTTTCTAATTTCTTCAGTTATTCTGTTTCTTATATTCTCTAAAAACCCTACTTAATCTACTTAATAACTAGTACTTATAGGGTATCGTTATACTCAGAAAAAGTTGTCCTCTCAATTTACGATAAAAAAGTAGTTTTTTATTTAAGATAAATGTGGGGGCAAAAAAATAACAATTATAAGATTTTAAATAAAAAAACAAAGTTTACGTGTCCGAGCTTTTTTCATAAAAATCTTTTCTCATCGAATAGAAGTAAGAACCACATGTATTATTTTTTATTTAATACCAAAGATAGAAATAAGTTTATTTTAAAAGAGAAATACAGTTTTTTGTTATTTTTTTATTTCATTGTAATGACTAAACATAGTTAAATAAAGTTTTTTTTTAAATGTTTCCAACTTCCATATAGGGCCCTATTTTTAAAAAGTTAAGGCCCTATTGTCCCTATTTTAAAGTTCAGTGCCGCTGTGAAGCCTGCAATTACAAACGCGCAATTTTAAATTACAAATGGTTTCTAGGTGGAAAAACTGTATGACACCACCTGTCAGCATTTTTTTCGAGTTTACCCGCGGCAAAACTTGACAGCTGTTGTCACCAAAATTGGAATTTGTATTTTAATTGTACCATAAATAATTAAGTTTGTACTATTTTGTGATTAAATAAATTACCTATTTTTCAGTTTTCAAATTAATACCTACATATTTATTACACAGTGCAACACAAAAAAATGGACGCAATTCTGCATAGCACATTTAAAAGTATACATCAAGATAAGAATAAGAATAACTCGACAACTATTAAAGATAACGACATATTTTTTTTAAACAATTTTAGCTAAAAGTGTCAGCAACAAATTTTATAAACACAGTATGCCCTAAAAATTACATTTCAATTAAGTTTTTAAACAAAATATCGTAAATAGTCGATTTGTTTTGCTCTTGCGAACACAAGTTGCAATTTATTATACTTTTTTGTTAAATTTATGTGGCAAAATTATAGCGCTTATGTAAAAATAATAATAATAGTACAAAAAAACACTTCTTAGTCGAATGGCATACAACATTTTATCTCTAAGGTACAGTTTTATTAGTTAAACGATACATAAAACGTACTTAGAATTATAATAACAATGGGGTAGTTAAATTTTTTCTGACCTATACTTTTTATGCTTTTATTCAAGGCGTTTTGTATTTTTAAACATCTTTGTGAAATCGGAATTTCAATTGAGTTTACCGTTTTCGAGATATTTACAAAAAAAAGTCTCCTAATTACGTCACTAGGCTATTGACAACGTTGCCAGCTTTTTCTATGGTGTTTAGTTTAAGATTCTTACGATAGATGGCGCCACGTTATAATATTTTAGTTTTAAAACTACTTGATCTAAAATTTTAGTTGAGAAGAAGAAGAAGAATTGATTTTTTGACGTTTCTATTTTTCGGGTTATGTTTTTTTTTAATTTAGATTATTGAAAATCAATGTTATTGTTATGTTATTTGTAATTGATATTAGATAAGTGATTTATTAATAACGGACTCCAAAGCAGAGGAATCTTGTGGAATGGTTGGTTACATTGAACATTGGAGCTTTTAAACAAATAAAGTAAGTACCTATAATCCTAAACCAGGCCTATAATTATAATCATATTTTGTCGTAAATGCATTTCATTAGTATAATGCCTAGTTCTTTATATTCTTTTAGATATATCTTGGACTCAAAGAGTAATATGATACCTCGTAATAAGGAAGATAGGTACTTAATGAATTTGGTGACCATATGTTTCTCTACACAGAAGATATATTTATTGTACTGGTTGTAAGGTTTTGATGCTCATCATCAGGGATGCAAGTTTTATAAAAACTATACACAAATATCATAAATACCATTGTTAACTTACATTTACTGTTATTTTTTGTAAATTTATTTCATTCATTTTCAGCTTTATTTTGCCACTTTTTTCTATGAAATATATTAAACTCTGCTTTAGACAGTTATTAGGTACCTATTTATTACATTTTATTAGGTTTCACGCGGTGTTTCAATGTGTAAACCTATCAATAAAACTTTTAATTTCAGAATTTTCTTGAACCTCCTCTTCTTCTTCTTTCACTCAACTGACAGTGACAGTATTTGTACATAACCTCTTTGGGTATTTTCTGACATAACCGAATGAAATCATTAACAAGACAACTTGACAACAGGGTAATTTTCAACCAATAGAAATCTTAGAATGTTGGTCACATGGCGAGGTTTGTGACGTCATAAAAATGTATATTTTTTGTAAATATCTCGAAAACGCTAAACTCAATTGAAATTCTGATTTCACAGAAATGTTTAATATTACAAAACGCCTTGAATAAAATCATAAAAAGTATAGGTCAGAAAAAATTTAACTACCCCATTATTAAAAGTATAAAGTGAGGTTAGATAGCTTTAGAGCTGTTAGCATGCTAGCAGTTTTTGAATGACTAGTCTAAATTATTTTTACAGTCTAGGAGATA